ATCTGGGAAGGTAATAGTAGGAAAAGGTTGGTAGAGACATGGTTCTGCTAGGGCCAGATGGACCATGTTAATGAAAAAGAGCTGATTTTTCAATATCAGTGTGCCACCTGGTGGCTTTCACAAATAGAACAACTCATGTAGCTACTTCAGATATATTTCTCCCCTTACTGCAAGGATGTGCCCAGAAGGACAAGAACACTTTAGGTGGATGTCGATGAACTCATATCATTCTCTAAAAATTTGGGATACACTTTCTCAAGCTAGAGACTGCTCCCGAAATCCAGAAATTGTGGGCACCACCTTGCTTAGTTCCATAGCGAGATACTAGAAGCTATCTACCTTTCCCAACAAGCTGCTAAAGAAATTGGTGTATACTAAGATCCCAGCTTGGTTCACTTCATCAATTAATGCAAAGGTTTCCTTTTCTTAAGATGGAATATTGTTTTGTATTGGGGACTAGGGTAGGAGTCAGCAGATAGAGTGTCTCTTGCCTAAGTCCTACTTACTAGGACACCCTGGGGTTTGATACCTATCATCTTAACAAGGACAGTCTCCTGATTGTTTAGATTGTCTAGCACTTGGGAGGCACAAGGAATAGAATGCTAGACTTGGAACAAGTATAACTTGAGTTGCAATCCTGCCTTGGACACTAGGCAGGTATGTGACCCTGGGCAACCTTTCTCAGGCTATTTTCTCATCTGTAAAATGGTGATAGTAATAGCACTTACCTCACAGGGTTGTCATGGGGATCATATGAAATAATATATGTAGGGATCATATGAAGTAATAAAACCCTAAAAATGCTTTGCAAGCTTTTGCTAGGTTTAAAACACTAGATAATAATGATGATGATGCAATAATCAATTAAGGTTGGTAGCCAACACTACCAGGGTTCAGATGAATGGCCAGTGTCTAACCATCATATGAGTCCTGGCTATGGCTCCCAAGGTGGTCACTCCTCCAAACCATCCTAATTGTATAGGAGTTTTATCCCACTCCACCACCCACTTGCCCCATGTCTTAGATTAGATCTCCCTGTATAATTGTAATTTGTGATCCCATATCAAATATTCCAGGGAACATTTGTTTTTTTTATGCCCCCAACCTATTCTACCACCACTGTAGCATAAGACTTCCTGACAGGAAAGATAGGAGCAAGGATGAGCAAAATTAGGAGACATTGACCCCTGCCCTATGGGCCATACTCTTCCCTCAAGCTCTATAAGTCTGGATAAAAGGGTACGGAGAAGAGGGGAGTAGAAGTACTTGGCCTCCTCCCCTCCTGCCCTGAGCCATTAGGACCTACATACCAAGGTGTTGAATATCAGCAACAAATATTTATTAAGGGCCTCCTATTTGCCAGAAACTATGCTAAGTGCTTTACAAGTATTATCTCATTTGATTCTTTTGATAACCCCAAGAAGTAGAATTTGAGTTCAAGTCTTTCTACCTCTGGGCCCAGAGCTCTGTAAACTGCTCCACCTAGCTGCTCCTAAGGAGCCTCAGGTTTTAATAACCAAATCTGTAGGACCTCTTTCGTTCATGGCTTGCCAGAGGGTCCTTTTGCCCCAGATCATGTCATCTTTAGGGCCTGATGACCCAAATCTGCCTGAGCTAAGATCCTTAAGTTCACAAGCACCAGGTCTTAAATCTCTCCAGGAGTGGTCATGAGTAAGGGCATATGGAGCCCCAAGGCAGGAAGCCCTAAATTATTTCAGTCATGCCAGGGAAGTCACTTGGGATTGTTGGGTTACTTTCAGAAATTCTTTTGGGAGGCAGCACACACCAGGAGATCAGTTTACTGCCCTGGTTTAGAATCTTGGGGAAAGTCCCCTTTGGGGAGCCATTATTCCTGCAGTGACCTAGCTACCCACTGAAACAAGATGTATCCCCTTACTGGGGCCCCACTTAAGTAATTAGCTGAAACTACAATGGCATCAAGGGGTTAGTGGTCAGGATTCTCAGATGCTTCAACTCACTGTCAATAAGGTTAATTTAACAAGCACAATTGTCCAGTGGCTAAAGAAGCCATTTGAGAAGCATCTCCCACGTCCACTGAAGGAATATGGTTTGTAACTGATCCATTTCCTCAGAAGAATATTGCACTGACTTTGACTCTTAGACTGGTACCTATCCCATCTTACAAGCTAGATTAGGTATGACAACTAGATGGGTTTCTTCCCATTCCCTAAAGGAAAAGGAGTTTTGAAAGGGTCTGTATCCAGACTACAAAATGGAGCACCCCTTCCTCCAACCAAGGTGCTTGTGGGGAGTTTCCATTGTCAGTCAATTATTAAGTCATTTATTAAGCATTGACTATATGTGTGGGACTGTGCTAAGCACCAAGGATACAGAAAAAGGCCAAAACATAGTCCCTGCCCTCAAGGAGTTCACATTCTAATGGAGAATTCAACAGGCAAACAACTTTATTATATGCCATGTAAATGGAAAGCAATTTCAAAAAGAAGGCATTTACTATAGAGGGAGGGGCTGGGGAGGACTGAAAAAGACCTCTTGCAGCAGGTGGGATTTGAGATGAGTCTTAAAGAAGGCCAAGGAAGACAAGAGATGAAGGCAAGAAAAGAGGGTATTCCAGACATAGGGGACAGCCAGTAAAAGGATGTGGAGTACGGAAGTGGGTGGAGTGTGTGAAGACCATTGTCTCTGGAATATAGAATACATTTGGGGGAGTAAAGGTAAAAAGATTGGAAAGGTAGAAAGTGTTTAAGTTTTGAAGGACTTTAAATGCCAAAAGGAGCATTTTATATTTGATCCTGGAGGTTATAAGGAGCCACTGAGGTTTATTGAGTTGGTAGGTGGGAAGGTCAGAGTCAGACATGGGTTTTGTGAAAATCACTTTGGCAACAGAGTGGATGAAAGATTGGAGTTTCCAAGGGGCCTTGCCATTGGCTGACCACCCATCCACCACATTCTGTCTGTCAATCTTACCTTCCAAATCCTATGGTTCTCCAAACTCAACTCTAGAAGACCCAGCTTTAGGAGGTGTTGGGGGTGGGGGATGTCACCCAGCCTACAGACAGTCCAGAGCACGCTCCTGTCACCCTTTCCTTCTTTATATCCAAGCAAAAGCAGTCTATTTCCTCTCTTGCTTCTTTATTACAGTAAGAGCAGCCAGGGGGCAGTCTCCCTTCCACTGTTTAATCCTTGTAGGTTCCTATCTTTATGGCTCCATCTATCTATGTCCTCAGGTTCAGGGGGCATCCTTCCCAATCCCAAGATGGGATTTAGCTCACAGGGCCCAGAGTCCTTCTGTGACCATATACTAGGGGCCATATTGAGCCATTTTAGCTTTAAAGGGAGAGGACAGGTCATGTCCTCCTGACTGCCGTTCTTTCTGAGCCTTCTTTCTGGCCATTGCACATGATCTTGCCAACTCTGACAATTGTTTTAAGCAAGGACCTTCCCTGGTACTGCTGAACCCTTGGAATCTGGCTATGAAAGCAAGTGGTTCTGTAATGAGATGCTAAAGATGTCATTCTCAAGCAGCAGTACAAGGATGAAGGACTTATTGATCCCAGCTAGAAACAGAGAGTACAAGGCTTGGAACCACTAGGTGGTGCAGGGGATAGAGTACATGGGCTGGAGTCAAGAACTCCTGAGTTCAAATCTGAACTCTGATCCTGGGTGGCCCTGGGCAAGTCACTTGACATTTCTTTGCCTCAGTTTCCTCATCTGTAAAATGGAGATGACAATAGCACCTACTTCCCAGGTTGTAATATTTGTAAAGTGCTTAGCAGAGTGCCTGGCACATAGCTTGAGTGTCTTCATCCTTTCCTTTTCCCTCTTTTCGGCTCCCTTTTGTGTGTTGTCTTCTCCCATTAGAATGTAAACTCCTTGAGGGCAGGCACTGTCTTTTTTTTTTCTTATATTTGTATCTCCAGAGCTTGGTATGGTTCCTGGTACACAGTAATCACTTAATAAATGCTTGTTCTTTCCTTCCAAGACAGTGTCTGCATTTGAGGTTAAGTTCAACTCCAGGACCCCAAGTCACTGCCTTGTTCTTTTCTCCTACAGCCTGAGGGATTGTGCTATCCATTTCCATTCTTGGCCATTTGTCCTTGTCTCCTACTCAGTTTCTCCCTGCCTGGACCCCTTAGGCCTCCTGGATTCCTTCCAGAAGTGTGTACTCCCTGGGCCCTTCTTCCATTTCCTCTCTTACTAGGGAAACCATGGTTCACACAAAATTAATATTTGATCTTTGATGGTACAGAGAACTCTAATTAGATTAAGCTGCATCTCAGAGGAAATCTAGGCTCTGAGTTGTGTCCTAAAGTATCCTTATGCCCCTTACCTCAGGAATAGCCTTGGGGACAGGGATAGGTTATAGATAGCATTAGGGACTCAAGGAGATCTTGCACCAGGAATTTCATCCCTACATCTGACCCACATTTATCCTGATGGAAATTAAGACTCCTCCCCCATGTGATTCCTTCCTCAACTATAAGAATGAAGGATACGACCTCCCCAGGGACATAATAAGAGAAGCTAGGCATTGGAAGACAATGAGGCTGATTTTCCCCCCTACAGGTCCCCAACCTTCACAGCCTAATTTCTATCATGGTACACAGCCCCTACCGACTCCAAGCAGCCCATATGGCCATAATCCCAAGAGCATGAACTGGAGGTTGCAACCTGGTGTGTACCCCCAAAATAAGCCTCATATAGGAAAAAGGTAGTAGTGGGAACTGTTGCTGCTGCCCAAACTATGGAAACCTGGGGAACTTGGGTTATGATTATCTGCCCCCCACTCCCACTTCCATACCTGTAACTCCAAAGAAAGGAATACTGTGACTATTTCAGGGGACACAGAATGAGGATTGACTTCTGAATCTTAAGAGGGAATGAATGTGACTGGGGTCACTGGGATCATTCTGGAACTCAAATGGTCATGTCAGGGTCCAAATAGTGGCTCCCACAACTTTGTTTCCCAGGCTTCTGGAGAAGCAAAGGTCACAAGTCAAGAGTCAGGGAGTCAGAGGTCAAACTCATCTGGAGGCAACTTGTTCTCTTCTGTTCATTCCCCATTTCCACCCACAGAAGGGAAATCATAGAGACAGAAAGAATAATAGGCAAGAGAGGAGACTTGAAAAATAAAGAAAAATCTAAGGGAACAGAGGGGATGAAGGCAGAGAGAAGACTATGAAATGCCTAGGGGAATAGGTGTGAGATTGTAAGGTTAGGGTGGGAGAGATGAAGGGACAGAGAGAAGACTGAGAAAAAAGAGGATGGAAATATGAGGAAGCAGATAACAGACAAGGATTAATGGGATAATTTCATGGGATGGGAAGATCAAAAGATCAAGATCATGGTGGTGAACAGGATGTTGATAGCCGCAGTCTTCATCAATAACATTCTCAAGCCCAGCAGTCTGAGGAGCACCTGGTTCCCCTGCTCAGGTCCTGGTTCTCCTGCTATAAGAGAGAAAGATCAGGGTCAGGGGAGAAAGGTATCTTTGAGCTTAATTAGGAATCAATGATGGGGCCTTACTGTCTGAGGAAAATAAGCCCACGTTGTCAGCTGCCTCTAGAGAATACATATGCTGGGTATTCACATACACTTTGCCCCAACATGGCATACCATGGCATGCTTTAAGTGTTGTTTGATTATATGGGCCCTTAGTTTTGATCTATCAAACACACCGAACCCAGAGAAATCTCAGAATCTGAGCCCAAGGGAAATCATACCCTAAACAATGACTCATCCCAAGCACTGAACCCTAAGACATCACATACTCTGAGCAAAATTTATCACACACACTGAGCCTGAATACTTTGGCCCCTTGGTTATTCCAACATTTTGTCCTGGGCTATCACAAACACTGAGCATGAGTTACTGCACCCTTTGCCCCAGGTGATCACACATTCCAGTTCCTGGGTTATTACATTGATCTTGAGACTATCACATACTCTAAAATTTAGCTTATTCTTCTTCTCAGCCCCTAGGAAGACACCACAGGTTCTGGCTTGCTTCATTTCTTCATTATTTCACTCATCTCTTTGTTGAATTAAATTTATTAAAATGTACACCAATACTGTTATGTGTTGAAGGAGATACAATGTTTTAATGATACATAGTACCCACATTGACAAAGCTAGCAGTCTAGTAGGGGCATAAGGCACAAACTGTTTCTCTTTTGACCAGAAGCCCTGAGGGTCTTCCTCTCCCAGTTTGATTTTTTTTTTTATTATTATTAAAGGGGCCATCTCTTGATTCACTTCTTAAAGAGGCTTATTCATTGAATGGTTGTTACCTTACTCAAAGTGAGAACCTGAAAAGACCTCAGCTTAAAAGGGCCAGGGTCTCCCATTGCATCCTGGGCCATGTCCAGTCATCCTGGTAAATATCTGGCCACTGCACCCAGATGGCTCTGGAGGAGAAAGTGAGGCTGGTGACCTTGCACAGCCCTCCCTCACTCAAAGCAAAGTTAATTGCTAGTCATGTCATCAGGGAGATGTCAAGGTCCTCTTTGAGAACAAAGAGCAACAACAGCCACAAAAAGCCACAAACACAGTTACCTATAATATACAATATTATACAAGTACATTAGAGAGGTGCGAAACAATCTGCTATCTGAAGTCTGAGGGGGAAACTCACTATGAAACAGGGGTTCCCAGGAAGGATTAATGGACAAGGTAGAATTTGAATTTGAATTGAAAGGATGGGCAAGAATTCACTAAACCAAGAGAACGACATTGAGAGGTTATTGAACGTGTATGGAAAAACCTGAGGAAATGCAAGTAAGTGAATAGGGAGATGGTATGTTCAGTGGGCCATGAGGAGGTCACACTGATGAGAGCTTAGACTACATGGAAGAGAGTAAAATAAGATCAGGGTGGCATTAGATGGTGGAAGGCCTTGAATGCCAAACAACAGAGTTTGGACATTATGTGAGAGACCAAAGGAAGCCACTAGCAATTTCTGAACAGAGGAATGAAATGGTTATGTGTGTGTGTGTGTGTGTGTGTGTGTGTGTGTGTGTGTAAAATCTTCCATATATATGGAAGATTAATCTGGTGATTGTATTGTGATGTGGAAGAGAGAGCAGAGGTGGGAAAATATACCAGGGGAATATCTCAACAATCCAGGAAAATGATAATTAGGGCCTTTACTAGCAAGATGACAATAAGAATAAAGAGGTGCAGACAATATAAAACTGAAGAAAGCTGAAGAATCAACAATCACCCCAAAGATACAGCATAGGAGAGGAGTGAACTGAATAGCAGCAGAACAAGAGGAAATGTTGTCAAACATAGGAGGAAAAAAAAATAATCTCCATTTCAGACATGTTAAATTTGAGGGGCCAGTGGGCTATGCAGGTAGACATGTTCTGAAGGCATTTGGAGGTGTGGTTTGGAGACTCATGAGAGAGCTAAAGGCTTGGAGATATAGATTGTGAGTCATCAGGAGAGACTTGGTAGTGAAGCCAGGAGAGTGAATAAGTTTGACAAAGGAAAGAGAACAGAAGAAAGTCCAGGACTGGCCCTTGAGGATTATCTACACTAAAGAGATCAAGAGAGGAAGATAGAAAAGTAGCAGTTAGAAAGGGGAGTGAAAAATAAAGATAATACAGGGTCTCTGAAGGACAGTGGAGGAGAAGGTGTTCAGTCATGGGTGATAATCTGCATAAAAAGCTGCATCGAAGTTAAAGGAGAATGGAGACCGAAAGAGGCCTCTGGATTTGGTGGTTAGGAAGGCACTGAGAGAGCTCACTGAGCAGAGGGAGGAGTGTGGAAGACAGAAGGGAAGGGCTTGGGGAGAAAGTGAAAGGAGAGTTAGTGATGACAACTCCTAGGATTTTAGCAGTGAAGGGGAGAGGAGTGTTGCCACAGAAGTGGGTGGGTAATTAAGGTAAAGGGATTTGGGAAGACCCAAGTTCAACATTAGAGGGAAGGAGTTAAGAGTAAAGGAGACATTGGAGATGTAGCAAGGCCCTGGAAGAGGCAGGGGAAGATGGGCTCAATGGCAGAGGCTGCACTAGGGATTCCTCATGGTCAGTGTGATGAATTAGAAAGAGTGCTAGGCTTAGAGTCAAAGAAGACTATTATGAAGCCTTCTATTTGGGTCTCCCTGCCCCAGGCTTCTCACTACTCAAGCTTATTCTCAACAATCACCGAAATGACTTTCCTGAAATGAAGAGTCAACTGCAGCTTAGAATCCAGCCTCTGACATTTACCAACTGTGTTGTTGTTGTTGTTTAGTCCTGACCAACCCTTTGTGACCCCATTTGGGGTTTTCTTGGGAAGGATACTGGGGTGGTTTGCCATTTACCTCTCTAGTGGACTCATTTTGTCAGGCAATCAGAGGTTCAGTGACTTGCCCAGGGTCACATGGTTAGGAAGCATCTGAGGCTGGATTTGAACTAAGGTGTTCCTGATTCCAGGCCCGGTGCTCCATCCACTGAGCCACTGGCTATCCTTCTTACTGTTAGTAATGATGGACAAATCTCTAAATCTCTCTGAAATTCAGTATCCTCATTTATAAGAGGGGGGAGAAGGCAATAACTCCAGTATCTCTCTCACCATGGCACTTATGAGGCTGAAATAAGATGGTGTATGTAAAGTGATTTGTAGACCTTAAAGTGCTGAATACAGGTTAGCAAATATTATTCTTTGGTCAGAGAGTAGAAGTAAATGATGAAGCTGAAAAGGCATGAGCATGACAGAGGAGCTAGAAGGAGATCGTTCATGTAAGGAGCCTTAGGCTCCTTAGGGAAATAAAATGCCAAGATGTCTTCCAAAGTTGTGGGAGATGTGGGTTGATGAGGAGGTAGAGGAGAAGAGAAAGTTTGGAACTATTAATATAGGGAATAAAGATAGCAAAGGGGACAGAGAGGAAATCCTGTGTGTAACTCCCTCCCCCAATGCAGGTTTGTACTTTTTGTTGTTGTTTTGTTTTGTTTTGTTTTTCAGGTATGTACTTTCTCTGCAAATTATCGTCTTAGAGAACAGCCTAGAGCAATAATGTGCCCAAGGGTACACAGCCAGTATATATTAGGGGTGCAATTTAAACCCAGCTTTGCCTAACTTGAAGGTCTGTTCTCTATCCACTATGTTGATGAAAGAAGAGTTGAATACATATAAATTCAGAGCGAGGGCCCCGCTGAGATGCTATAGCATAAATCTGTAATTAATGAAGTTAATTCAGGTCAGCATCCCAAAACCAGAAGCAGAGAAGGGAGAAGGTTGTAACCACCCAGGGATGAGAGCATTTGAGGAGGCCACGGAGAATAGAAATGAGCTCCTCCTCACCCTGAGCCCTGGACTCACATGTTCTTGGAACTTTAGATCTTCACATAGTCTGAAGATCTAGGCCATCATTCTCTCTAATCCATGAGCCATTAGTCACACCAAGCCCTTCTGCATTTGCTCTGAGCCTTGAACTGTCACATACCAAGGCTGTTTAGGTTTTCACATACCTACAAATGCTCTGTATTGATTGTGGCCATGAGGAACCCTGTGGTATCACATTATCAGAAGGGGAGACATAGAGACTATGGGACTGGTAGAATTGTCTCCATTCTGATCATGTTGCTTAAGCTTAATCTCATTATCTCTGCCCTTTTATCTTTCACCTTTAACTCACCTGTGAGTTCCTGGTCATGGCAAGATGGTTCCAGCTGAGGAGTGATCCCAGTGTCTGAAGGCAGAAAGATATAATCAGCCACAGCCTTGGGATTCAGTGAGCTCAGGACTTTCCTCCCCAGCCCAGGATTTCCCTCTGTGGGTCAGAACACCCTTCATCAGCCAGGCTCCCCCCTCATCTATCTTAGGAAACCCATCCTCTATTTATGGATTCTTCTCCCCCACTCCCAGTCAGGAAACACTGGTCTGGAATAGTCCTTTCTACACAAAAACCCCCAGCCCCAGTCCAGGCCCCTCTTCCCCAGTAAGGAATCCCCTCTTCTCTCTATAGCATTGTCTCCTAGTTCCTGCTCCTGCCTCTGTTTCTGTGCCTCAGTGATCTGGAAAGCACTTCCAAAGCACAAGATGCCCCTTCTTGGTGCCACCCCTCATGCCCAGGCAGGGGCTGCTCATACCTGGCTGGTAGGACACAAGGGTCTCTTTCCCAAGGTGCTGCACTGAGCAGGTTACTGAGTCATTTTCACCAACCCTGCCAATCTGGATGGCACTGTAGGTGCCATGGGCTGTGGGAGCCATAGTGAGGGCCTGGGCTGAGACTAAGTCCCCAAGGGATGCCAGGGACCCATGGAGTTCCTTGGGGTAGAAGTCACTGACCAGGCAGGCCACAGCATCCTGATTCCTCACCAGGAACACACTGGGTGACAGAGGGGCCCGAGATTCTGCAATCAAACCGTGACTTCCTGTCACTCAGCTGGCCCCCACAGAGCGCTCTGCCAGCCTGCAACCCAGCCCCAACTGTGGAAAGGCACATATGTGACCAAATAACAGTAAAAAGCAAACCTCACCCACTTCCTGGCCCCGCTGTCAGCCCTGGCCTAGACCCTTGTGTGGGGAGCAAATACATGAAACCAAGTAACTGTGAAAAATAAACCCCAACCTTGTTTCCCACCCCTCTCTCACCTGGACCCCATGTGTGAGAAGTTCATGTGATCAAATAACTGTGAAAAGTAGACCTTCTCCTCAGCTTCCTGGCCCCAGCCCAAGGCTAGCTCTCACATCCCCAGCTCACATGCCTGTGCTGCCCCCAGACCACGGCCCCTTTTCTCCCTCACAACTTCCCCCCACTCCTGTTTTTTACTGGGGCTGACAGCTCTCTGGGCTTCACATCTGGGTGTCCCAAGTCCATTAGCCTTATTATGATTGGAACTCAAAGTCCCTCAATCACCTACCACAGTCCAACCCCAGAGATTACCGCCCAGAGTGGGTGTGCTAGTTGTGCATGTTCACAGAGTACACTGGGGTAGAGAGAAAGGTCTGAGAAATGACAGATCTTGGTTCTAGTCTGAGCACCAGCACCATGTGACCTTGGATCAGACTTGGTCTCACAAGGTCTATTTCCCTAAAACAGAGATGGAGGAGGTACTCACCAGGCTCCACGGCCACATTTGTCCCAGAACCAAAGATCATCTTGTCTGCATCACCTCCATCACCCACCCTTCTTAGGCAATGATAGTAGCCAGAGTCTCCAAGACTAAGGTCTTTAATCTGGAGAAAAATCTGGCTACTGGTATCATCCATGCTAGAGGTGATGCGGTCTTCTCTGGCTTCTGAAAATGTGGTATCAAGACTGGTCAGCCACAGTGGGGCATGCCCAGGGGCCCATAGGTACCAGCCTAGTCTGCTTGTGTTAAACTGAAAGCCAGACACTTGGCACTTGAGGTTCAGGGTCCTTCCAGCTGGGTATGGGCCTCCCCCTGACTCTTTCAGCAGTGTCTCATCTCCTATTCAGGAAAAGAATGATGGGGGCAGAGTAAGGAGGGACAAGTAATCCATCCGTTATCCTAGGAGTGAAGATCTTGAATCCTTAAGTCCCCTAAATGCCATTCTGCCCTAGACCCTTCTCCCCTCCCCGAGGACTTTAGATACCAAAGTCAGGGCCCATTTCTCTTTAGATATGTCTTAGGGAAAGAAATGGAGGACATGAGTCCCATAACTACAGGAAAGAGAAAACATGATCATTGACAAGGTTCAGAGGGTCGCAGGGATTAGGGCTGTTCTTGGGGTTGGGGGGGAGCTTCCTGGGTCCAACAGTTTCTCAGGCTTGGGGAATTTCTTGGGATTTGAAGGCGAAGTGTCTAGGACCAGGAGAAGGAAAAGTCACGGTCCTTAGGTACCTAGGTTTGGAATTCAAAGGTCTGGGGAGTGGCTAGGGTTGGGGGTTCCTGGAATGATGAGTTTGAGATACCCTAGGAGACAGGGCTGGCTGCAGGAACTGCCCCACATAACCACCACAGGCTTGGGTAAAGGATGACTGGGATCATCAGTCCAGTCCAAGATTCCTCCCACACTCCTATAACTTTTTGGGGGTCCAGTGGAATGGGAACCCCTGCCCATCTTCCCCCTACCCCTGTTGGGAACATGGAAACTTACGTGGGAGTACAGTCACTTCGGTTCCAGGACCAAAATTTTCCCATTGAGCTCACTGTGCCACAGTAAAGAACCTAAACCTTCATGCTTGGGAAGGGCAGGGGGTGTATGAGGTGGCAGGAAGTGGGTTGGAGGACAACAGGATCTAGGAAATGAGTAGCAGGGACACCTGTTGGCAGGTCCATGGGAACCCACCAAGTTCATGAAGCCCCAGTAAAGTGGGGGATTTTTAAAGGTGATGTGACATAATAGCATAGCCTTGGAGTCAGGAGACCTGGATTTAACTCTGACTCCAGCATGAACTGACTGTATGACCATGGGCAAGTCATTTAACTCTTCAATGCCTCAGGAAACTCTCTAAGACTAAGTTTCAGACCAGTTTCAAGCAGTTAGATCTGCATCAGTCAAAAGAAATTTCCTCACTGAGAGTTCCCTATGTAAACAAAATCATAGGACTTGTTTAAAAAAAAAGTGGTAGACCCCATATTGAGTTCCAACTAAAAGCAGATCTAAGCAAGCTCAGAGATCCCTCCAGGGTCCCTTCCTTGATAGGATCCCAGGAAAGCCAGACCCTTGGGCATGCCTGGTCTTTGCTAAACTTCAGAAAGATATTGAGACAATTCCTGGGGTGACTACACATTTTTCCTTTCCCAGTCTAACTATGAAAGACTGAGTTGAAGAGATGATTGGGGAACACTAGAAAGGGAAATGGTGATTACAAAAAGCCAGCACAGCTTCATCTAGAACAGGGCATACCAGGCTGATCTCATGGACTTTTTATTAACACTGTTACTAAATTGGTAGATTAGGGGATTGCTGCAGATATAGTTTGCCTACATTTTAGCAAGGCTTTTTGATAAATTATACTATTCTTGTGGGGAAGATAAAGTGATGTAGGCCAATTGATAAGAGAGTTAGATGGATTCAGAGCTAGCTGGATGGTTGGACTCACAGAAGTCATTAATAGTTCAATGTCAATGTAGCAGTAGGTCTTCAGTGGAGGGCCCCAAGGATCTGTGCCTCTTTATGCTGTTTAATATTTTCATTAATTATTTGTGTAATAGGAAACTGGAACATTGACAAGGGCATTAGTGTACTCCACTGAAGGAAATCCCCCATGTGGAGGAGACTAGGAAGCCTGGTTCCAGAAAGTACCTTGGAAAGACTATGGAGCATGCATCGACATTCTGTAATTGCTAACCATGTGACTAGGAGGGGCTTTTGTCCGTTGGTTGTATAGACAGAATTGGGGGCATCTTCAAGAAGACTGTCACCTTTGACCTAGTATCTTTGCCTCTTTCTCTTCAACTGCTCAACTGAGGGATCTTGTTGACTTGGTTCACAGTGTCTGGTGAGAGACAAAGTTGTAAGGGGAGGATCTTTGAGAACTTCTCCTTTCTGAGGCTATGTGACCCTCACCTTAGTCCTTGGTCTCTGTGCTTGTCCTTTTTCCCTTTTAGATGGAGGAATAGAACTTCCTATAGTGTGAGTTTCAATAGGTCCAGAGAACTCTCCAGCATGCTGGTATTCCAGAGTCTGGATTTTGAGCTATATCCTGAGGTACAAGGAGTGACCTTCAGGAGTGATCTTCTTGGACCAGGCCAGTGAGAGCTGACACAAGAATTCATCTGTCAGCCAGGCTGCATGAACTTGGTGAGACCAATATTATGTAGGAATTGGACAAAGAGTGTACTCCTGAGGTGTTGGGAGGAAATGTTTGTATATTTGGTCCTCCTGTATCTTCATTGAAAATATCCCTACATAAAAGTTCATTGATGTTAAGTGTTAAATGGCACCTAAAAACAGGGAGGAGGGGGATACAAACAGTAGAGCCTTAGGTCAATGGCAGTACACACACACACACCACACCACACCATACCACATCACACCACACCAGACAAAAATCCTTTCACTTCCCTGGAACCCAGAGTGGGAGATGTAGCCTGCTGGGTGCTCAGTGAGTGAGTCAGAGCATATGTGCTGCTGAATAAAGGCATGAATGGCATGCTTAATAAGTTAGTAGATGACAAGAAGATTGGAATAACAGCTAATACAGTAGATGACAGAGTAGAATCCAATGAGATTCTGACAGGCTAGAGAATTGGGCTGAAACCTATAAGACAAAATTCCATAGGGATCAATGTAAAGTCTTATGCTTAGGTACAAAAAATAATCAATGTCACGAATAAGAGAAGGGGAGAGACTGTTGGACAGAAGCTTTTCTGAAAAAGACTGGGGGGTTTGATTAGACTGCAAGTTCAATAGGAGTCAGCAGTGGTAGAGCAGCCAAAAAAGCGAATGAGATTTTGGTCACCATTAAGTGGGCCAGGAATTCCAAGAATAAGGAGGTGATAGTCCTTCTAAACTCTGCCCTTGTCAGACTTTATCTGGATTTTTGTGCTCAGTTGGGCACCCCAGTTTAAAATGGTCAGTGATAAGTTGGAGAAGGTCCAGAGGAGGACACCCAGGATGGTGAAGAGCCTTGAGCTCCTGCTGTTTGAAGAAGGGCTGCGGGAATTGGGAATGCTGAACCGGCAAGAAGAGAAGACTCAAGGAAGGGCATGATAATTTTATTCAACTATTTGAAAGCTATCATATGTAAGAGGAATCAGACTTGTTTTCTGTGGCTCCAGAAGGTAGGAGCAATGGGTGGAGATACCAAAAAGGCAAATTAGACTGATATCAAGAAAAACTTTATGGTAATAATAACAAGAATAATAACAGCTAGCATTTATATAGCACTTCAGGGTTGGCAATGTGCTTTACCTACATTATCTCATTTGATCCTCACAACAATAGAGGTAGGTACTCTTAGCCCCATTTTATAGATGAGGAAACTGAGGCTGAGAGAGGTTATGTGATTTTCCCAGGGTCATACAACTTAGAAGTTTTGGGGGCAGTCTTCCTTACTCCATCCTGATGATTAGAACTATGCAAAAGTATAATAGGCTTTTTCAAATGGTGATGGGTTCCTCCTCCTTAGAGGTCTTTGAGAAATCCTTGGATGATCTAGTCCTTTCTTACCTTTCCAGTCTTCTTACATCTTACTCTGCACTCCAATGACACTGGTGTCCTTGCTATTCCTCAAACAAGACACTCCCAACTCCAGGCATTTTCATTGGCTGTTCCCCATTGCCTGAATATTCACTCCCTCCTCATCTCTGGCTCCTGCCTTCCCTCAGGATCCAGCTAAAATCTAAGAGAAACTTTTTCTACTCCCCTTTAATCTTAGTGTAATCCCTCTGTGATTATCTCCAACTTATCCTGTCTATATCTTGTTTGTACATATTTGTTTGCTTGTTGTCTCTGACATCAGACTGTGAACTCCTTGAAAAGAGGAACTGGTTTTTGCCTTTATTTGTATTCCCAGCACATAGCACAGCTCCTGGCACACAGCTGGTGCTTAATAAATGCTTGTTGAATAACTGGCCACTTGTTCAGTATGTTGTAGGATACCTCCTGGGTATGGGTTAGACTACATGGTCCCTGAGGTCCCCTGTAATTCTCAAGATTCTACACTTTTTACTCACTACACACTATAGACCAAATGCAGATTTAGACTCACACGGAGGTTACATACCAAGGCCACAGTATGTACCTCCATTGATGGGCATTGTCTGGGTACATGTGTAAAGTATTTTCCCATTACCCTTGGAAATTTACAAATCATCCTGGTCACTAACTAGACAGGCCTGGCCCTCCAGCAGTGATTCAGTGTACCCTGCACCCTCAGTACCCTCAGAGCCTTTGACTTATACTCTCAATCCTAGCTTCAGTGGCCTAACATGACTCTCACTCCATTGACCGATTGATTGCTTGATGCCCCATGTAAAGGAGTTTATATTTGTCTCTAGGAAATGGCCCTCTAGTAGATTCAGCCCACTGAATTAGTCCATCAAGATCTTCTGATCTTGACTGTGTCACCCAGTATGTTAGCTATCTGTCCCAGCTTTGTGTCATCTGTGAATGTGAAAGACATGACATCTATGCCTTTGTCCAAGTCATTGATAAAATTGTCAATCAGCACAGGTCCAAGCCCAGATTCCTAAGGCCTTGGGTTAGAGATTTCCTTCCAAGCTAACATGGAACCACTAATAGTAGTAACAAGGACTCTTTGAGTCAAATAATTCAAACAGTTCTAAACTCACCTAGTTACATCATCATCTAGCTCACAGTTCTCCAGCTTTTCCACAAGAATAATACAAGATATCTTATCAGATGCTTTGTAGGCAAACTACATCTACTATGATCCCCACCCTTAATCTGCCACCTCACCAACCCTGTCAGAAAAAGAAAGAAGAGTGTGGACCCCCCTGGCTTTCGGGGCCACTGCACCATTTGGTGGTGCTTTCCT